GTTTCCAAATCATTGACAAAATAAGATTTATATATTGAGTTATAAACCAGAACAAGAAATTAGGCTTGAGCGCACAAATTCCATGCTGCAGAATGAGAACGGCTTCATGAATACGGGCCCAGGTCTTATTATCCCTGTTTTTTTCAATGGTTTCCATGTAAATCTTTCCTTTGTTTATTTTTTGCTTTGGTTTTATCGATTTTGAGTTCGAATTAAGGTTTTGATGACACCTAGGTATTCTCTTGGGGGGTGGGGTTCATGTAAAAAGACAGGTATTTTTCAATATTATACGCGTGTATCTAGTACGCCGAGAATATGGCAGTCTTATATGCTTATATCAAACGGGATATTTGGTTGACATCTTATCAGCTGGAATGCATGTTACAATCATATAGGCTTGTATAAAACAAGACCAGTGAGTAAAAATCCTCTAGGTGATTTTATTCTTGTAGTTGGCGCTACAGCTAATCGAAATAATATCATCACATAGCGGAATGATGGTATTGTTTATAATCTTATTGATAAGTTTCGATTTTTGTTCTTGAAGTTGGCGCTACAAACAAGTCGAGCAATGTGATAATTTAAATAATGTCATTATATAGCAGAATGATTTTATATACTTATCATAACGTAAAATACTATGTAACACTTATGAAAACCTTTTTTCCTCACTTCCCTAGTTTCTTATTTGAGGACGTGCCATTATAAGTTTTTACGTAAATTTACATGTCAGGCGGTGTCGATGAAGCAGAAGACGATGCTCTTCCGGTACATCTGGTCTCATTCTCCGTGTACTTTTTCAAAGTTCTTCATATAAAAAAATAATAATCATATTTTGCCCTAGTTTTATCGATTTTGAGTTCGAATAACGGTTTTGTTGACGTTCTTTATGTACTTATGTGTTGCAGAATGTAAAGCAATCTTTCAAATGTTTGACATTGACGGGGACGGTCAGCTAACAGAGGAGGAGATAATGAAAGGATATCATATGTTTGATATGAATCCGACGGAGGAAGATATAAAACAGACAATGAAAGACCTCGATATCGATGGTAAGGATATTTAATATCAGTTGTTGTATATTCAGTTAAAAGAAGATTGTCGATCCTTCAAAATATCATTGAACAAGTTAGGCCAACAAAACGTATGTATGTTTCAGGTAAAATGACTGACAAAAGGGTTGGTCTGTCATGATTTATTTTCATTATATTTTGTTTTTCTTTACCTTGAGTGGGGGCTAATTTAAAAAAATTACCAATATAACCAAATATAGATATAGAATAATTAAGACCAATTGCATTCATTTTTATTATATTTTTAGGTCCCTTAAATAATAATATGGGATTTAAATTTGGTTCTGATACCTGCTTATGATATACAGAGGTGTTATATAGACGCTTACGTTGTGTGTTTTTTTGCGTGTTCAAACGGGACGTTTGATAGCATGCAAGTGAGAGAAAATTGTTAGTGTCGGAAGGTAAAACTAGGATCGGTCGGGGTACATGAAACATAACTTTTTTGCCTCATGTCTGTCAGTAGTCATTGTGTGTGAAACAACAGATTTACTCGGCAGTACGCATACTATCACATCAATTTCAATAGCAAATAACCCTGAAACCTCACCCCTCCCTACTAGGCATCACAATCTTTGACCAGTGTATCTGATACATCAGAAACACTCATTTCAACCATCCTCGATACTCCAGGGGTTAAGCTCACTTATGCTTTCTGCACCCCTTAAATCTGTAATGACAAAATCGAAGGTTCAGGTTGCACCTTGTGGATGAGCGTCCTTAAATGATCTTAGTGGTTTATAGGACGTTAAACAAAACAAAACCAAATTGTGGATGAGACGACGAAGATTAGTGTGATCATTTGGTGTATATCAGAAGAATCCCGCAACAGCGTAACGGTAAAATTGACAGGCTTTGATGTAGGGTGTCGAAGTTGCACCACGCTGAACATTGTTTTTAAAACATATAATATATAAACGGTTCAGGCACTCTGCCAGGTCGCTCTTGTGTGATTTCCTCAAAATTAGTTGTTATTCTGTTTTTGAGTCCGTGTGGGAAGTTAATCTTTTGATAGACGATAAATACGATAGACGACACGATCAAGTTAAAGAGTCACACAGCAAACATTTCTGCACGCGAAAATTACCAATTTTACAGTAAGTCGGCACACTGAAACTTTTGGGCTTCTATTACAATAACACGTACAGCTAAATTTCACTTATTTCTTTTACAGAATCAGGAACAATCGATTATGACGAGTTTAAGAGTTTAATGTGGAAAATTGACCAGGACGAGGAACGGGACAACGTGGCTCAGGCATTCCGAAAATTCGATCGGCGCCGGAGAGGCTACCTAGACAAGAGGCAATTTAGTTCCGTACTTAACGCCGCCATTAAAGGCGAATCAGGTGAAAAATTCAGTAAAGAGGACGTCGACAAGTTCTTCAAAGTTGTGGACACCGATAATAACGGCAAGATTGATCTAGAAGGTAAAAGTCATTAAATGAATTCTGCCAAATGTATGTGTATTTGGGCCATATTAATTTAATGTGTACTGACAAAGTGGAAATGTAAGCTTACTTTTGAGATACCTCAAGCCTAGTTAGCTTTCTTTAGAGATACCTCAGGCCTGTTTAGCTTACTTGAGAGATACCTCTAGCCTAGTTAGCTTTATCTGGATTTAGAGATACCTATAGCCAAGTTAGCTTATTTAAGAGATACCTCAAGCCTGGTTAGCTTATTTTAGAGATACCTCAGGCCTGGTAAGCTTACTTTAGAGATACCTCAGACCAGATTAGCTTACTTTAGAGATACATCAAGCCTGGTTAGCTTAATGTAGAGATACCTCAAGCCTAGTTAGCTTACTTGATAGATATCTCAGGCCATGTTAGATACATCAGGCCTAATTATCTTTCTTAATAGATACCTATAGCCTAGTTAGCTTACTTAAAGATACTTAAAGTCTGGTAAGCTTACTGTAGAGATACCTCGAGCCTGGTTAGCTTACTTTAAAGTGGATCAAGCCTGGTTAGCTTACTGTAGAGATACCTCAGTCCTGGTAAGCTTACT